GCATTGGCTTGTGAAATGTCGAATTCAAAAGAATCAGTCCAGACATGGGTCGATATTTGAAATGGTACCAAACCCAGCTATCCCATATGGTGGATGCTGCATGCACACAGAGGGATGTGTACACGGGCAGAAGCTTGCAACCAGCAAGCAGAACAAAAAATTACTGAAATCTTTGGAGTGGGGACAGATGGCAGTTTCACTCAAGATAGGAAACATCTAAGATCACTGTCATGGAATCACTAACTACCTCAGAGAAGAATATTTACCTGTGTTACAAGACTGTCCAAGCTGTGTCAGAATAAGCTGCAACAGCAAGGAGAATCTACCTTGCCCACCTTCCAAGAAGTTCTTCTATTACAAAATCACAAACAATGTTTGACTGCAGAGTTACAGTTATTTGTTTTGATTTCTGAGATTAATAATATACTTAAACTGCTTCAGAGATTTTAAACAAAACTAGGCATTAGACCTAGTTCCCAATTAAAATTAATTAATTGAAATTAATTGCTAAATAAAAAGCCTAGGCACATCTAATCCCTGGGGTTCACAAAAGCACCTTCTTTCCTGGCAGGTGAACTTCCTAATTCAGATGAAATTACATGACTGCTTCAGGTAGGAATTTCAGGTATGGTTGGAAAAGTGCTCTGCTGGGACAAAAGACTGATTAGCTGTAATGTTTCCAAACTTATGCGATGAACTGGTGTCTGCCAAGAACCCCCTCATTTTCACCAGTTGATGAAAGCATTACATCAGCAGTTTCAAGGGGTCTCTGAAAGTAGAACATATAAGGTTTGAGTACCAAGTAGCTTTAGTGTCCCAAGCAAGCAGTAACTTCACTCCTGTATCCTTTATGATTGCCTTCTGTGGGGTAAGAGGTGACAGATTCTGATAGGGATAAACACAGTGCTCCTGACCTGCAGGTAGTATCAGAAATCAATACCTCTTATAATTTGAGAAGTCTTTGAACACCAAGAAGATAATTGTGTCTACTGTAGATATGTGCTTGTTTTATCAAAGCCTTTCTGGATATTTTTAAAGGTAAAAGAGAAACTAGGCAACACAGCTCTGCCCTCAACAGCCAACTTTGCTGGAACATGGAAAATCTTAAGTTTGGGTACTGCAACTTACTCTTATATTGAGTCATTAATTCATTATCAGAATCACTTGGCCCTTAAAGAACAAAAGATGTTCAATATACCAAAAGTCATCCTAAGACAGAATAATTTAAAGAACTAACTTTTTCTGCAAGAGTCTACAGACCAAGCCATGATGATAAAATTATTTCACCTCAATCGAAAATTCCAGAGAGACCACTGGTGCAGACTTCTGAATGAAAAAGTGCCCAAAGT